TATATATAGTTTTACTGAATTCAGCGTATTATTACCTGATTACGATGCTCACCCTCGGCGCTGTCTGTAATGCTCTGGAAGCAAGAAAAAAACGTGAAATTTAAAAAAAACATTTTAATCATGGTTTGCTTCCAATCAATACTGCTACAGAGAGTTGACGACTGAAAAGACTCATTGATGCACTTTGGTGCCCGTCAGTTCACTGCTTAAAGACATTAACAATGCTTTGCTGCCATTATCCGACCAGTAGTATCATTAGCCGTTTGACCAGATTTGCCGGTGTACCAGTGTAGAAATGGAACCTAAAGGTAATTTTTTTCAAATTAGAACGACTTAAATTTGCAACCAGAGGAACAGGATTAGTGACATTCGTATAGGTCTGTCATTAGTTGCTGGCTAGAAACATTCCCTTAGGCAAACAGCAATAAAGTCAGATTTCGCGACATTGACTTCTGTTGGTTAGTTGACATGGGATTACCACCACATAATAGAATTTGCACCCTGGTCAAGATAAACCGATTGAGTAAACATTTGTGTGCGCAAGCAAGTATGTCCCAGGTCAGATGAACAGCCAACAGCCAGGCCTCTGATAAGACAGTCGAGCAGAAGGAAGCGCTGAAACATCTGCAAGGGCATTTGCTTCCGAAATGAGCTGTGCCGCGGGAGTTAGTTTACGACAAACAATGAGAGAAATCCAGGACATCAAATGACAAGTTGTGAGCGAGTTCTTTGGTGAAATGTTTGCGCTGAGCTAACAATATTTATGCTCACAACAACCGATCTATACTGATTTGGTTACATGGTATCAGCTGATCAAAATGAGTGGCCAAGTAACGTCAGTTCCACAGGCCACAATCTCTGCGAAATGTCGGGTGGGCTAGACTTACCGCAAAACTCTGCTGTTATCTTCTGTCGTTTTCCATCCATTTCGCCAACCGGAGAGTGCTCAATCACTATCTACGCTTTGTACATTTAGATTGTAATATGAACTACCAAACCGTCAGAAGCATCTTTGATAGTTCAGTGGTCCAAAGCTGTTCAGCACCAATTCACTCTCTTCTTATGTATCATGTGTCTTTGTTGCTTAGGCTACACATGAACACAACAGTTGTTGTTCTGCAGAGTGGAAGGAAAAGTAATTTTTTCTTGGCTGGCAGCTAAAGGCGCCTGGTATAACGATTCGCATCTTCCTCACAAGTCGCGCACAGACTGTCCACGACTGGTATGAACAGTGAAACTGTTTGTATTTTCCTACCTAGGTGCGATTCTCACCTGGCTGATTAGCTTAATTAACGAGGCCTTAACTTTTCGCGCCAGTTGGGGATTGAAACACACTTTGATCATATGAACCAGTCGATCATTCAAAATTAGACTAGTGTGTACTTTCTCGTCATATCACATGAAAGCTATTTTTTGTGAGGCATCAATGCAGAGGCAACTAATCGAAATGCTTGAGCGTCTGCCGAGCCTGAGCATAAAAGTCATATTCATGGATAGACGTAATAAACCACTTACAGGGTTGCTGAAAATCTTCGACAGTGCACTACTGGTTTCGCTCTTCAGGTGGACGTGACCCCCTGGTTTCTGTCAAAAAAATAAATCTTTCAATTGTAACACCTTTCTGGTTCCTAGCTGCCATGCCACCCGAGGGAAGTGTGAGGTCTGTGACACTGCTGGGCTGTCCATGCCTAGACAGAGGAGGTCCGGGTTCGAACGACGCACCTTTAGGTCAGTAAATTCACGCTGTTACGTCCCATTCGTCTCGCCCTCAAATTTCTGTCAACCAAATGTTCTACTTGATTCCAGATTGCATGAAGTTCGACTTAAATATTCATTTTCATACCGATTTGGTTTTGACGGGAGATTCAACTGAGTATGCTGCACGTGCGAAACCAGATATGGGCTGTTAAAGTGTCTTCAGGGACCTTACAAGTAGTGTACTACGTCTGTAAAACGTATTGCGATATCTCGAATATCGTACTAACTAAAGCAGAGGCGGCCCTGTTGATTAGGAACATCATAAACAAGGGATTAAGCTGGTTTCCAGGGAAGTCTGTCAAAACAAATTTGGTATGCGGATGAATGTGTAAGTTGTACTCAATGATGTTGTGAATAGTAGAACTACTGGATCTTGGAGTGGCTCTAATGCCTCAGTTTATGAGGTTTCCCTTGAATCATGCATGATCATGTGCGCACTATTTATGGCCATCGGCTAAATTCAGCAGCTGGTCGGAAGATCGATCAGTAAGGCATTCAAACTCCATAATACAGGTGACTGCAGCACAGAATAACTATTTGGTGGCTGTTTGAGACACGATACTAATTGATAAGGTATATTTAAATATCACGACTAGAAAGCGCACAGTAGCCTGGGTTGAAATGATCAGTTGAAGCATGTGATAGACAGGCTTTGGTGTACCTCAGAGACAGTAATTCGTCTGACGTGACAAGGCCACACGAGACCTTCAGTGGGCCGGTCGGAAGGAATAACCGACGGGATATAGAATCAGATCGTCACAGGGACGTTAAGGCCCGTTGCATCTTCTTGTTGATCACTTTGTCTGTTTCCAGTGTCCTATAACTGAAGATTGAAAAAAAACGAGAAACGGATAAGCTTACTTGGTGTGGAAGGGTTATTTCCACACGATTTCTGTCACATATTCTTTACTGTGCACTGAATCCATAAAGAGTTTCCGAAACAGTAAGAAAACGATAGAGGGTGGAAAGTGCAGGGATTTTGGCTGGACAGGGAATATTAAACAAAAATATTATAGCACAAGCACAGTCTGTACTTATCCCTAGATCTCTTCTATCCAAATCAAAGATAGTTTATATTTCACAGCTTAAATTAGAGCGCGCTGATGAGTATACTTCAAATTAAAGACTGCTGTGCAGCCGGTTGCATAGGATACCGATCCTCACACTTTGAGCTTTAGAAGTTATCCTTGTAATCTCAATATTATTTTCTTACAAATAGGGGCACAAAGAATCTTGCTTTGTTACAGTTTTAAGCATTGCAAACTTTGTTACCACTAGTTATTATTTACCAGCACACGCGGATCCACAACTGGACGGATAATCCTCGGTCAGTCACAGTGACTGACGGTTATTGAGGTGGTTAATTCTAGCTGTGGATGGCTGTCTATAAAAGTGAGACTAATGTCCCTTCCCCACTTCCCATTGGGGAAAAAGAGTCAGTTCAGAGGTTCCAATGTACTCGCTCTATGACTTCTTGAAGTTTATCTCATCTGGCAGAACTGCAGCTGAAAAAATTTGTTCGACGAAGGTCTGTTTGTTCTTACGACACCTCTTAATGTGTGAGAATGTCGCAATCGCAAATGGTTGAATTCTTGTTAATTTACCAACGTGCCGGTGGTATTCAGGAAAACAAGTACACAATGCCGTGCGGAGGAATACCTCTAGCGCAGTGTATCAAATAATTCGTAGGATGTAAAAAACACTAAGAATCACTATACAGACCCATCAGCATAGTCCTAAGTCCAAAATCTGTCATCGTGAGCTCCGTTTAGGAAGAACACAATGGCATCATCTGTGGTTTTCGGATGTATTCTAGGGCCAACAATCGATGGGGCAAGTACAGCAACCCTTCTTTAAAAGGACAGCCAATCACAATTTACATCACTCTGATTGTGTTAACTTTTTGTCAACTTTTCCATTTGTCAGCTATTTCCAACTGTGGTGTTTTTAGTAAGCTCATGTATCCTCGGTGAAAAAGGCGTTAAACTACACAGTTTGGTTTAGTTTTTTTGACGGGTTGTTTGACCCAAATTCCGCTGAAAACTGAGTTCATTTCTCAAATCGGAAAATGTGCAAATAAAGTCAAATAACAGCTAACTGCGCCGACCTTCACCATGAGCGTCACTACCCGGTTCAACTCAACCACCATGACAGCAAGTTTCGAACTGACCAAAACTGCTTCGGCATCGAAACGTCATCAGCCAGACTTCATAGCTCATTTGCTTCCATAGAGCGCTCACAGGAATTCGTACCTGACAGGGTTCGTGAACCTACCACACTCGCATGAGCGATACGATAATACGACCACCGACTGTGTGAAGGGGGCGTTCGGCACATGCAGACGTACACACAATCAAATCACCGACACCAGAACACACCTATCAGATGTCCGCGTAGCCCTATTTCTCTTGCTCCCTGTCTTGCTAACCCTCATTCACCCCACGACTGACCCAACTGTCCAATGATAAGTTACCGTCTGGGTGAGATGGTGTCTATCACATGTTGTGGAAACGATCCGGCTGACTTTGTTCTGCTCCGTCGGTATGTGGCGCACATACTTCGCGGGCGCCCGCTAGCGTAGTTCACAAAATCTCTTCTCTCACACAGTTCACTATTATCACAACCAAACGTGGTGTCGCTCTCCCCTTTCTCCACCCGTCTACGTATTTCTTTTGGTGCACGCATATCATGTAGCACGGTGATTTTAATCCATCACCAGCTGCTTCAGTCGGTCGTGAACATGACACATCCTCGCATACACTTACACACATACACACAACAGGGAATGACGGTGTGTGGATGTACCGATTCCCTATCTAACTCATTCCCTTGACGGGTGCGGTTACAAACAACTATCCAGCCACCGTCGGCCTTGCAAATATTCACACAACCTTTACCAGAGTAGATAATATTGTTCACGCACACACCGCCGTCAGTCACTAATCACCGTTTCTCCGAAGTCAACGCATAAAGAAGCATAACCGGAACTCTGAACGCAGTTTTGTTCGCTCGGATCTACTTGGCCCGCCTTTGCAATTCTTGGCCTGTACTTTCTGGACTGACTCCAGTCTCTCACCCACTTATTCGGTCTACGGTGAACCACTGAAAGAAGGATATGGCCACCAATCCTCTGAATGGTTTTGAATCACTGTTCCTGCAGAATGATAGATCTGGATTCTTGTCAAAACATGCTAAATTGATGCCCAATCTTCACTTCAACCTTCCACAGTCACCTACAATAGACGCATCAAAAATGTTTGTGAGTGAGTCTACCACTGGCTTGCCTCATCCAATGAGTTGGATAATGAACCCACAACAATTTTTGGCAGCTTTGACCGCTGTCAGAAACTCCATTCCTGGTTCAATTTCTCCAACGGTCCCAAATATTCCTCTACCCTCATCAGTGCCGTCTGTGGCCGACCTGGCCAGATTTACAAGTGGTGATATGCCTGAACGGTGGAAAAATCGGACCAGTACGACTACGGTAGCCTTGACAAATCAGTCAACTTCTCCGTCTTCTTCATCATCATCAATGTTGTCACCGAATGCAACGAAGGTGTCACCTGGGGATCAGAGCCTTCCAAGTTCTGTCCCAATGAATGGTACGACAAAACCACTCAATCTGAAACACCGGACGCGCCCCAAATTTCAGTTTAGCAGCCCTTCTAAATTTTCGAAGGTGTCCCGGCACATACCTGCCCGACCCTCCTCTGAACTACCCACAGACTATTCAAAATTACCTTCCGTTTTACATGACTCATCCACTGGTCCAGTACCACTCTCCTTTGCTCCGCAAGAAATTATACGAGTATGCCAGACATTTGAAGAAGCCGGTGATATTGATCATTTGAGCCGTTTTCTATGGTCCTTACCGCTGCACGCTAGCCTCTGGGAGGTGCTCAACAGAAGCGATGTGATTCTAAGGGCCCGCGCTCTGGTTGCATTTCATACGGGTAATTTCCGTGAACTGTACGCGATTCTCGAAAGGCATACTTTTCCAAAATCGGTTCACGGAAAGCTACAGGCTTTATGGCTTGAAGCGCACTATCAAGAAGCGGAGAAACTTCGTGGTCGTCCTCTCGGTCCCGTGGATAAGTACCGAGTTAGGAAGAAGTTTCCAATGCCTCGAACCATATGGGACGGCGAGCAGAAAACCCATTGTTTCAAAGAACGCACTCGTGGGTTACTCCGTGAGTGGTATCTGCAAGATCCTTACCCAAGTCCGGCGAAGAAGCGAGAACTGGCCACTGCCACAGGATTGACACCAACACAGGTGGGGAATTGGTTCAAAAACAGACGTCAGAGGGACCGTGCAGCCGCTGCGAAGAATCAGTAAGTATATTTTTATCCCCTTGTTTATCCCCTCCCATCCGGAGGTTTTTACCAACTGATTTTAACAAGAACACTAAGTTACTGTTCACATATGGAACCTACTTTTGTGTCTTCAGGCCGCATGGCTAAACCTTTCGCCACATGAGCGTTAACTGTAATTTCCTTTGGACAACACGGTCAGATGTGTAAGTGTATTCATGATAATCATGGCGTGCAAATTGTGTCCTCTTTTCTGGACAGCCATTTTGGTTGTCAATAGACAGTGACATAGAGGAGAATGTCGGTAGCTCAGGTAGCGTAGATGGTCGTTGGCTTGTTCTCTGAGCTAGGCAATTTGGTTGCAAACGTTTCATCACCAATCGAGGTGACATCATCAGTGCGTAGTTGTGCGTAGCGTTGGGTTAGTGGTTGTGCACAACCGCAGTGCACAAACGGACAGCGACATATTTTGATGCTTTACGGACGACAGAATTTTCCAGAAATTGTGATCCATCATCAGTCGTAGTTGTGCGTAGCGTTGGGTTAGTGGTTGTGCACAACCGCAGTGCACAAACGGACAGCGACATATTTTGATGCTTTACGGACGACAGAATTTTCCAGAAATTGTGATCGTTACTGTGACGCAAGTGGCTGAAAAAAGTAGGAAACCGTCATTAGATTCATCTGACAAGAAATGTCTCACAGTTTCCTGTCAATGACGAGGTCACGTCCAGAAGAGAACAAAAGAGCATTTTTGTCATCCTTTTAAGTTCCACTTAATTGTACAGGGGTCCCACAGAACTGAATTGAATAGGCCGCTTATCTCTTAATCATGTTTTCGGGTCTCTGTACCGTGTGTACGTCATATCAAGGATGGAGGGCAACACACCCATTTGAGGCCTTAAATACTTAGCTCATCTACGCTCTTCAAACACTCAGTTTTGAAATGAATAACCTATTGACTTCCGTAAACACTGAAAGCCCGAAATAGATGTTCAGAACGAAATGAACGTAGTGGTCACACAATAATTCTCATCGAATGGAGGTCACTCTCCCAACTAGAAACAATCCACTGAGTTCTCCGAGGGGCCACTTTCGAGCCTCCAACAAAATTACCCTTGGTGGTCACGCGCGGCAAACCCCTTCCCCAAAAAGGAACAGGATTTGGGATGAGCGCCCTTGATTTTATCGTACGTGGCATAATGAGTGTATCTGGTCAGTGAATGGAAGAGAAGATTATTCTCAGTGGATGGTTTTGGATTTCTTGCCGTGATTCTGTTCCGTACAGGACAGAGATACACGTCTTTTCGATATAACAACTTATGGCTGGTTCATTGAGATCCTTCTAAACCAGGTTTGAAAAGAGGCCATCTCTGAGGATTGATTCCAAGTAGTCAATACAGACAGAGCAATTCATGCATACAACATTAATATGCAAACTAATTTGTTTTCACCTAGAAGCACAACTGGATCTTTTGTTTACAAGGTTGACGCAAACTAGTGAACTGCGCCCACCTGTTGAGTTTCGGAAAGGGCGAAAATGATTTCGGACCGTCGGAGATTTTTTATCAGTCATAAGAGACCGGTTGAAGGGATAGGCCCGAAGCGGTTTTTCTTGAAGGGTGGGTTCCTTAAAACGACACAAGTTAACTGGGTACTGTTTCAAACGATGCTGTCGGCCTGCACTCAGCATCATTTTCGGCTCTGCATAAAATGCTTGTGGTTTTCCTTCTGTGTGTAGACTTCCAGTGGATCAACAACTGCTGGATGGTCTGGATACCATTCGTACGTATGGTCTCCACTTGAACAACGAATATCTTCCCATTCCTTATTCAAGACGTTGTTGGTCCAAATAAATCCTCGGTACAAGGATTTCGAAGTTTCGATGAGTTATAATGATTTCCAGTCTTACGGATTTCTCAACTTTATTTCGAATGTCTGCATGCGCTCACGTGGACAAACTTGTTTGCACGGTAAGATCCACTTGATCACTCAAGAACCAGTTTACTGCGCTGATACAGTACTCATTCCTCAGAGAAGAAACTCATCAATAGAAAAGACGCTTGTGTAAGCAGGAAAAAGTGTTCCGTTCGCAGTTCTTTTCAAAGAAGCTTGGAAGGAGACATCACAATGGAAATAGTCTAATCCATTTTACTAACGTACTATGCTCAGTGATTCTTTATACGGCTTGGCTAAACGGACCGATCACAAATTCTCAAGGATGATCACGATTCTACAGGTTCATCATGATGGGCTAATATGAATGAAATAAGGATACGGGGAATTATTGTGTACTGGATGCATTCCATTAGGACAAAATGGAGACTTTTTGCGCCTCTGTTGCAAGAGCTGCTGAAGCGCTATTAGATACAAATGAAATTCAATTGTCCCGATGGACGTGAGATAATCTTTACTGACTAACCTCCCTGGACGAAACACCTTCGGTTGTGAACTGTACTAGAGTTCCCCATAGTTGCATTGTGTTTTATTATGACTTTACGTAGTATTTTACGGCGTTTTATACTTTCACAGAATGTACTCACGTATTTTCCATCATAATGGAATAACTTTTATACAATGTTCGAGCGTTTTCTGATGTACTGTCATCTGACAACAACTTTGACTTTGAGCAATAAAGAGGCATTAAATATGTGCGCGTTGTGTTGTTTGCAATGAAGGATAAGGAGAAAATTTTTTTAAAATCTGCCCTGGACAACTAGTTCGACAGCGACTGTAGAATAAGTAAATTCAACTGACTTCTCATTCATTTCGTATTCGGTAGTGCATATCAGGTCTTTTGTGATTCTGGGCAGGTTTTCGTATTTCTATTCCTGCTTTTAAAACTAAAGTACTTGGTAGAATGACTGAATGACATGCGACCTTGCCGATGTCTCTTACCTTTGTACTAATATAATATCAATTATTTTGACCATTATTTTCGTTAGAAACTCCTGAGTAAACACACGGTGCGTACTGTCTCACTCTCACAAGTATATCAGATATGATAACTTTCACATGTGTTTTGTATCATGGAAAGTATGTGATGTGTTCCGTTGTGTAACTTGTAATTCTGCTTTTTTTGTTTGGCACCGAGCGACTCTCAGCAGAACCCCACTGGTTCCGAAGGGTTTGTTTCTCATACTTCAGATTTTGCATTCTCAAAACTAGTCTTACTTGATACCATTTCAAGGGTGTGTGATTGGAATACACTTGGTACATAGATAGATACCTAGCCTCCATAAATGCACACAGTGTGTTGCAATGTTTGCCAGACAACCTGCATGAGAATATAAGAGGGCAGGTGGTTTAAGATTAACTTAGTTGCGTTTACTTTGTCGGACTTTTTAACCGGCATGTTAGAAATTCAAGAAGTTGTTTACTTTGTGCAGTCATTGTTTGAATACTGCAGCCAAGTTCTTTTATTTGGTACTCATAACAGATTGGTTATTTGTGCCTAAACCACAGTGACACAAAATTACTCGGAAAAAATGAGGTCCAGCAGAAGAGTTAGAAAGCTACATCACGGGCACTCTGTCACGTGTCATTGAATTTGGTATTTAGTGTTGGGTCTGGATGAAACTACAGGATGTCAAAAGAGAAAGAGTGCTGCCAAATTTGGTTTCCTATTGAGGAATTTTAAAGTCCGAATAATCGGTTCAGTGAATCAGCATTTTCTAGGGCGCTCTCACTATAAAGACGATTGATTTGAGTTGCCTGAACATTTGTTCTTAAAAACCTGGGGAACTATATTTTCTCCGAGGAAACCACCCACATGGCTGCTAAAACACTTCGATAGCACACGACCGGGTCCGCAGTTCATGAAACTCATCACGAAAGCGCAGTTCCCGGGTTTCCGTCTCGCGTAGAAACCAAAATGGTATGCAAAAGAGTGTATTTTGCGAATTACAATTTCAATTCAAACAGAAGGTTGAAGGAACGTTTGGCGTTGTGCCGATAGGCTCTAAAATAATCTACCGAGATGTTTTCAACGTTTTTTTTCAGTGATTTCCTGCGACATCACGAATATCGTATCAGCTGAGACACGAAGCGGTCCTTTTGGTTTACGGTCAGTTAAAAAATGTCATAAACGAGAGGTTCAGCTGGGATCCAGTTGGGTTTTCCGTTGAAACCAAATTGTTAGGTACACTAGTAGCCGGATACCTATACAGCAACAAAATATTTGGTGTGTCATAAAGAAAGGAATCCAATCCCAATTCACCGAGTTGATTGCAGCTTAACAGAGATCCAATAAAAAGGAGACCGATCAGAGAGCCTCCACAACACGAATTCTTCTCTAGCTTATTAGAACTTCTCATGTGCTTGTATATTTTTTTCAAGAGGAAAGACTTTTCTCCGCTAGACATTTACAAATTTCTCCATCTACCCTGTACTAGTCACCAAGTTCATGGTTCAAAAATTCATTAGTTGAAAAAACTGCATTGTGACATGGATGTATGGACAGCAGCACAATTTTGAATCCTCAGAGAGTGAAGTTAAAAGTCAAATAAAGTGCAGTTAAACATGCATAACTGCAAGATGATGGCTAGAATTTCTAGCCTCGTTTCCTTAACTGAAAGCGATTTTACTCGTTTTTTAAGTGAATAGTTTGTGTGGAATCAGGTGAAGGATGAATAGACAGTGAGAATAAATAACAAATTAATAATGAACAAGCAGTAACCAATAGTAACTAACTAACACAGCACCGCGCTGCTTGTCCGAATGCCCACAGTTTCGTTTCAAGTAAAGTGATCGTCAAATAACAATGTCACTTAGATATGAAAAGCCATACACCTTAGCAGATGCTAGTTACGGTAAAATAACGCATTTACGGAAAGCCAAAATCTTTCGCAAGTACATGCCCTCTTCACAATGTGGCGAATTGCTTTCCCTTCGCATTTATCTTTCGCTGAATGACTTAGTGTACAACTGATTACTATTCTGTCGATGCAATATCAACATTTACTTGATGTTCCCCATCTGGTGGCTAAGCGTTCACAAGCCAGTCGCGACCAATCTAACAATCCGTAAACATATTCACACACACACACCTGCATTTCATTGCGTTTACTTTTGTATACTGTTCCAAAAGAACACGTTATTCTCCAATGATCTGGACGGTTTAGGGAAAGTAGACGCAGAGCCAACTGGGAATCTAGCCCATGACCTCCGACACACTATAAGGCTCCTTGGGCCTGATATGCAATACCTAACAATCTGCCCTGACCCTAAATCGATTGCGATGCTGTTCGTAGTTTGTTGTCTTCTCGTAAGTTTACACACAAGCCCATAGCACATGGAGTATGGTGTTTGCTTTCTGCAGTTTCCATTCAATAAATGGGTTTGCAATAATAGGTAGCTGATAGGGATGAAGAACATCTCACAACTAAGCAAAGCTCGAATTGGCTATCGATTGGATATATGATTACCGACCGAGTGGAGTCTTAGTTTAACTTAATTTCTGCTTCGTGCAACGAAAAAATATCACCAGAGTTCGAGTAAGAGTTATCAACCAAGAATGCAAATCACTCAGTCAAAGAAGCAAACAAGGTCGGTTGTAGGTGGCTACTTATTGTTGTTTATTTGGAGCTCTCCAAACTAACATGTATGTTTAATCTTCACCTGGTTTTGATACCTGCATAGTTTAAATCTACGGAATGGAATTTGGAGAAACCCGAACGGACATATTTGTGCGTGAAAGACGGTGTTTGTATAACGTTTTCATTGGTGTTGGTATTTACCCAAACATGATAGTTTCCATTCGATTGCACGAAAAACTGCTAATGCAAACTCACGACCTCTTCAACATGGATGTTTTATATACAACTGTCTTTAATGTGTTAGCTTTTTATTAGTAATGTAGGTTGAGCTCCTTTCAACAATCGTACTTCTTATATGCTTGGAAATAATACACAAATTTTTTTGGGTGTACTGATTAATTTACACTTGAAATTCTTCTCTATCGTATTGAATTAGAAACAACGTTTTCCATTCAGAGTTAGTCACAAAAAGCCGGGGGCATACACGCCCCCGTTTAAATTTCCCCATTGTCTGAATTGCTTGCTCTGTAGTATATTTGAGAGGAACGAGCATTGTTCACTGAATAAACGTAGAGTGAAAATTCCCAGCCAAACTGTGCAAGCTCATTGATGACAAGCTAATGATTATTTGGTACTCTTTCCGATAAGAAGGTGTCTACAACTATTATGGAAAAAAGGCACACCTCTGAATATTGGTCAACTTGAAAATGGTCACTTTTGAGGAATGCAGTAAAGAATCTCCTTGGCGCGTCCCGAGTGGCCGTTATGCTATCCTGACAACCACGTTTAGCTGATGCGGCCGTATTTATGCCCATAACTTGTGTAGACTGAGTTGTTACATTTCTAATAACAGTGCATTTTACGGTATTTCCCCTCAGATAATCAGCTCGACTGTTCGAACGACAAAGTTTAAACGCTAGCGACAACAGAGGTCTAAGCCTGGGTTTCAACATAAACACATTCTATTCCTTTCGATCGTCGGTTTCCGGGCGGTCTGATAGGAGGCAGTTTGCTGCAACTAACTGCTGTCTCCGTCCCATTGCCTTAGTGTCGGAAAAAGACTCACTAACGAAGAACACAACAGCTCTATTGCAGGCATGCAAGTGCAAAGTTACGACGTACCTCGCGGTATTTGAAGAGTACTTTTACCATTAATTCGGGTTATCTTACTGGAACACTGATCGTCGGCCATGCTGTGCGGCATACCTGTATACTCGTCAGTCGTTGCTGAATTGATTGCTTGTGCATTCGGTCAGAAGCCGGGTTCTCTGACTTGATGGCATCCCTATTGATATGTTAGTGGGGTTTGAGTGCCTCAGTAGTTTTTGGTCATTCTGGGAATGATTTCAAGAATCTTAACTTACCCCTGCTACGATAGCCCGTCCAATGCAAACCATTTTTTTCAGTTCTGTCTACCTCAGTAAAGAGGAACTATGGTAGACATATTAGATAATATGTTAAACTAGATAATACCACTTACTCCAGGATTCCGGTGATAGCCCGTCAATGCAAACCATTTTTTTCAGTTCTGTCTACCTCAGTAAAGAGGAACTATGGTAGACATATTAGATAATATGTTAAACTAGATAATACCACTTACTCCAGGATTCCGGTATTCAAAAATGGGAAGTTAGCCATCTTTAATGACGACTAACGAGACCGGATAAATGGAGTGTACAAAACGGAATAAGCATTCGGCATATGGTGCTGTATCCACTCAAGCATTTGAGTATGAACTGAGTTATATTCCAGTTCAAGTTCGAAACTATGTTGGAGCCAATTAGCTCTCAGCTCCTACTATAAAGGTGAATCATAAAAGGGGCTAAACATTACACGCAGGTGTAGCATTGTTTTGTCAACAATTCGACTGGTCCCAGAAACGAATTTCTTGGTTTAGGTAGCTTACATGGCAACAACTAATACAGGAGATACGAGAATCGGATTCAAAGCCCACACATACATACTGTTCAGTGTTTGACTGAACGTGGTTGTGGATGCGGCCCATTGTTGCCTGTACATACCCAAAGGAACAGAGTTAGTTGGAACCAATGCAACTTCGATTGTTCTAGCACAGTGTTTTTGAGGGCTTCCGAAAACGAATTCAGTCGCAGGAGATAATTCAATCTGCGGTAAAACTGTAAAACGTCCTGAGAGGACAAAATGCCGGATATCCAGTGACTGGGCAAGATAAAAAGGTCGATTCACTCTTGGACAACAAAAAGACGCGATAAGACGTAGTGCTAAGTTTTTAGAGAAAAATCCTGTGCCTCCGGACTACCAGTTCTTTCGAGCTGCTGCCTCATGGTTAGGACTGCATCGGGTTGCATTTCGTACTTTTTAGTGACTTTGAGTAGCTTTAGCTATTTATTGCCCGCAGTCATTGGCACCTGCAAAGGGCGACTGTCAGGTGCAAGCTGTGCCTGGACAAGCAATGTACTTTCCTATGGAGTTCATCACATTGTTCTTTGGTCATCTGGAGCAATATGGAAGTCAAGCGATTTGTTCTATCGTTGGCAATAAAATACGCTTAACCCCGTCTCATCTTATTTTTTATTTTAGAAACTTAGACAACTCTGACAGTGATGGTGTTGCCGATAACTATTTGAATTCGGAAGACGAAAGAAGCCAAGTGACTGCCAAAATGGAACCGGATTCGAGCGATGGACTAACATGTGATTACGACCGATCCCGACGAGTGGTGACTGAAGATCAGACCTCCCCAGAAGCTGACTGTTGCACTCCTCCTGCATCCAGACAAATAAAAAGACGTTTTTCAGAGAACAGTGACGAATGGCTTGATGTAGACGATATTGATGTACCTGACAAGCACATAAAGGTCACCGAGGAAGAAATCAACCAAAGAGATAGTCAAAAACATGGTCGTTACGAGTTGCAGGAGTTTCCTACGGTCAGAATTCATAATTCGAAAGAAGATCAGTCCTCCAAAAAACCCAAGACGGATCGGTCATTCTTTCCAATGCGATGGTGCTTTTCAAACCCCGAATCCACGTCCAAAGAGGACCGACTTCCTCGTGCAGATGAACAGGACTTACCCTACGGTAGATCAAGTTACTCCGATAGGCCAGTGGCAGAGCAGTCAGCCAAGCTGGAAATAACGTGTCCTGGTGCAGCTTCAGTTGGACAAGAGGATAATTCAGGTGCGGTTGTACACCGAAGCCCATCTGATCACACATTCTTACCCGAACTAAACTATACGCCATTTCACTTGTTGCTGTCAATGGCGTCCAAGCTCACTCATGCGTCAAATCTGGCTCTTCGGGAGAACACCAGTTTGGGGACAACCAGTTCAAACGCCAGTCAACCGATTCTTGGCAAAACGCCTTCATTCAGCATCAATGACCTAGGACTATGCACCGAATCACAATCCCCTGTGAGTGCAGACAACGCCATACCTAAATTTACTAATCACCAGGCAATGTCGATCACGCCGGAACTACAGAATTTCTTCCTTAACACTTATGATAAGACAAGTTGCGCATCAGCGGCCCCTTGTGACCTAACTCCAACTGAAACGAATACGGAATGGTGGCGGAGGATGTCTGAGTGGTACACCTCAACAATGCGTGTCGGTTTTAGTGGTGATTCAAAGCTGAACCCACCGGCAAGCTATTCTGAGCGCCACCCACTCAATTCTAATAGTTGCATGCAGAATTTTGCCTTTGATTCCGAGCTGAACTTTCCGCCGTTCAGCGCTTCGACTGCGTCAAAGGACACCATACCCAACTGTTTGTACCGGACATTGGGACCTTTAGGTTTACCCCCAGACTTTCAACCGCAATGGCAAAAAGTCGTTCGTACACTGTCGTCTCAACTAGAAGACACACCCAATTCTACGGATTCCGGCATCGTTCATCTTTGCAGTCCCAGTAGCTCACCAAATAAACTGACCAGAACAACTCAGTCGTTCAACCATTCAATGATGAATTCCACAACTTCATAACGTGAGCAACACTCAGTTAAGTTATTTATGTTAAGAATAATCAAGAGTTTAACAAATCTACCTCTTAGGGATGAACGGATTTACGGTGAATGTACATATGCTTGTCCAAATCGGTGGGATTCACAATCTATCAGTTTTTCTTGCGAAAGAACGAATGTTGTGATCCTTTTTCTGAATTATGTAAATACTCTGCATTCATTTATTCAATCTACCTGTGGTATAAGATTCGTTAAGTTGTGACCCAACTTCCTTCTATCTTTATCACAAGAAGACGTAGGAGGATAATGTGGGGAAATATTTAAGGTCACTCATGAAATATAATTTACTTCAACGTGGCTTTTGAGGTGCCGAACGATCCCAAACACGCAACGTTTTAAATGTTATCGACCTATGGGGACTTAAGAGAGCAAATTTAATGTATGAACTTATACAGGCGTTCTGACGAGATATCCCCTTTCGTCAGCGAAGCAAAAGTCGAGTAGTAAGGATGCCCGTTCACCTAACTGATCAGTGCACACAGAAAATCGCTTATTTCGCAATCGAAGCAACGGCTGCCCAAGCAACAAGTGAAACCCGTAAATGAGTGACTGGGTAATTGAGACGAACAATTTCAAGTGAAAGTGGAGTGTTTGCTGGACCCCACGACCTATTCGCTCCACTCACCCTCAGTGTCATCAGGTAATCCGACATGGGTCAGACAGTCACGTGATATGCATAGAATAACCAGTGTCAGCAAATGGATGATGAATTGAAAAAACAGTCACTGGCATACAGTTGATCAGGCTGGATACATTCTGAGTTCCGGAACATGTTCAAAATTATGTGAGCAGAAAACGCGAAGCAGTTCCTTTCCAGGTGACTGAAGATATCCAGAACGGCGGTAAAGCACTTACCGGATGCTCTGGACACATTGGAAATATGGAACAATCTACAAGGGATGCAAGTAAAAATTTGTATTCGATCTTATCATAATTTGCCAACAGTCTTAGTTTGCTATAAGCCGCGTCCAGTATCCTGTGCAGTGCGGTTGTTTCCGAAATCTGGCCAATGCTAGAGCCGCTTGTGCAAATTTAATGTTATAGTTTATGTTAGATGCTCTTAACATTTCCTTCAATTATTGAATACGTTAAGAATGCAAACTCGGCATTTGCAACCGCTTTGTGCCACCTGGTCGTTCAATCGAGTAATAGTCCTTTTGGGGTGTATTATTCACGCGAGTGTCTTTCAGGTGCATACTTGATTACTGGTGTTCCGGGGGAATTTTAGTACATTAAACACGATGGTCTCAAATCTGCCTGAATGGTAAACCATCCCACCGTTTCGTGTACAACTAATTTGTTTTTAACCACAGACTCAACAGAATTCCAGTTGAATCTTTCGTTGATGAATGTGCCACACAAAGATAGCCTCATGTTTCAGTTGGTACGATAATATAAACGAGCGATTCAGTCGAGTCTCCAGTCAAAACCAATGTTGTACACAAATGCGCGTGTTTCGCGGATTGCATCTATTTGGGTTCAAGTGGAAACCGGTGTTGACGGAAACTGTCTGATCAGCCCCGGTCGTGGAGTGTCCGAGAGTTTCCATCAGGTGTGTGAATAGCCTCCATAAAAAATGTACTGCGAATATCACAACAAACGAAACGTGAGACGACCTCTGTAGAGAACATTACGTTGAAGGATGTCGTAAACGGTGGTTCGCCTAAATTTTCGTTGAGTCTCCTGATAACACCAGACTGGTGTGCAGTTTCTGCGGATTTCGTACAATTTGAGTTCGAGTAGAATATCAGGTTGGCTGAAACCGTGGGTCTACGAATATCTGATGAGCATCAGGAAGGGTGAAACTGATAATCTCACCTGCCAAGGAGTTTTCAGTAACCATATAAGTAGTTTCCTTCAAAGAAATCTTTCCTTTCTCTAAACTGCTGTCAAGACAGTTGTTAATATCTGTTGTGTGGCTTGCAGCTGGGATCCTAATGTCAGCATGTGGGGGTTGTTTCACTTTGGAATACATCCAGAATCACGTGATCCACGTGGGAGCTCGCACACGGAAGAATAAATCACTGTGGAAGAATTATGGTTTATGCATTTAACTTTGAGGTCCGTGCTGAGTAAATAAATGCACATTGGAGTGGAATCCCAGTTGTGCTCCATTCGATCAGAAGCCGTAGACGATACGTGAATATTTCCTGACCGCTGTCGATTTAAATAGACCATTTGTGTATAGAGTATATTATGTGTATTCTGTCCCATTAAGACTATTTATATTTTTTTCCCACGATTTTCTCTAAATATCCTTTTTTGATAGGGTCCGTTTTGTAATAAACGGCATTTTTACATCAAGATGTCGCCAGTGCTGCAAACCACTGATGACAGAAACCTGGTGACAATTTGTTTATACTCTGTTGAGTCAATGTTCATGAATATACCGGAACAAGCTCCCTCTGAAGCGCTTCTCTTGGCTTTCCGGTCAGAGAGACTTCATAGAATTATAAACGGGTACTGCACTCTTCCTCCATAGAATGCCGCATTGACGAGTGTTTTCATCACTGCCCCAACCTAACTGAGAGCGTACGGCGTCACTGAAAGAGAACTCACTCCGAAGCCACTTTCAGACCTTGTAACCTACTTACTAACATACTTTTCTGATGATGCCTCACCAGAATGAACCCTTGAATCCACTGTGTTACAAATACCATTTTTGCATTATTTCTGAGTAACGAGCCATGGTATAAGATAGCTCGACAGTTCGCTCATCCTCTGGTGCCCATGCGCATATAACTCATGCCCATCGGTCCACACCAGACGCATCAGTCTTGCCTTAAAACCAATTATTCTCCTTGAAGTGCAGTCGGGGCTTCCTTGTCTCTTCGCCGCTGTGGGACGTCTTTCCTGAACCACTGAGACTAGATGCTGTAGTGATATATACAAGGGTGGGCTGAATGGGGATTCTCAACAATCATTAAAAATGTAAAGTCTCGACGACAACTGAGAAGAAGAGAGCGAGAGCGAACAATCAGTAGCACCCTGCTGTGTCGGATGAGCGTCGCTGCTTTTGGCGCCCCTAAAAACAATCCTTGTCAAAGGTTGGTGAGTAAAACTCATTCGATGGCACAAGTCAAGGTATTATTGTGGTTAATCGACGGAGAGACATTCACGTGCACAGGCGATTAGACCAGAACCATGTGGCCAGTCAAAGGCCTGTGCCAGATGTCATCGTTGTCAGCACTGCTGCCAACCGTGGCTATGGGTGATGGCTTTACGATTCCTTCATTGGTACAGATGGTTACAGTTTGGTGTACAAGGTGAAATGTATTGTTCCATTTAACCTAAGTACTAAAGCTCAGCGGGATACCTAATGGTAGATTTTGATAGCACATGGTGTCGATACCCTTGATAAAAAATATGGTAGCCTTCCCAACTGCTGAGACTTGTCCAACAGTGCACCAAAGTCTCGATGCCAGAAGCGAGACAACTGGTAGCAACAACCATGACACGAAGTTAGTTTTCACAAAGTGGTTTCGAGCCCTACACTTTGCGTGCATATTGTGTAGAAATTTTCAGATTCACGACCAAGACGTTGAACGAAACTTGAGATTTATGGAGTTATGTGGACATCTATGCAAAGTTTAAAGAGAATCAGCCCGTAAACCGAATTAAATATCTGCTTGTATCGCGTTACTCAGCTGACATTCTGTTTTCTTTCGGAATCTGCCGAAGCCTGGCATAGCAACGCACTAGAGTATATTGCGGTTGATTGTAAGATTTTCCGAATGTATATTAACATCATTCTGATTTCAACCGTTCTCCCCTTGTTCCGACATGACGATTTTGGATGAACTTGATGCGAGTTCTTCTCTAGTTTGCGTTCATCAGGAGTGAATATCGTGTCGGTGTGTTTAACTTGTGATACTCTCGATAATGACAACAGGCTCCCCCTCATCTGCGATATCTTGAGTTAATAACTGGACACGCCCAAAGCTATACGTTCATTATCTGAGGGAACCTCAATTCCAGCACTGTTCCTTTGTAGTGGACAAAGCATAATATAATCAGGTGGGAAGATGGAGCTACCGATCAAACGGAGATGAAGCGATTACACAATCACCTGACTTTACAGCCAGGATGCCTGTCCAATATAGAAATCCACAAGTGTCTTACATTGTGATTACATAAAAACTCTACTTATGATATTGTGCTTGGGTTAGTAGTAACTGGACATTCCTTTAATCCTGGTGGTTTAAAATACATGTCTCCAACAACCTGAAGAACTGTGTGTGAAAACAAACATCCAATGAGTAAACTGATTATGACATGTAGACATGACAGGAGCTAATACATGGACTGTTCACGCAGTACCACCTGTAGAGTGTGATATGGAGTGAATAGCTTTTTGATTCAAATCAGAAATGATTCAGTTCTATTGGTATTCAGTTTCGAATTAACATTTGTATTTATCTTCTGCTCCCCAAAAGAACCTCAGTTCATCTAACCCATTTCTTAGGGTTCTTCAACCGAAGTCCCTGGGTTTTAACTATCAATCTTTCGTACTATGCATTATAAAATTTCCAAGTTAAGTCAAATCAGGAGACGCATCTTACGACAGATTTTCGGCGTACGAAACTACAACTTTGTCAGATGACCGTATAAATAGCTTTTTAATCAGATAGACAGGCATAAGTGTGCTGCTTCTGAGGGTGTAAATGAAACTAGAATTCACAGGCCACTCGTCACGAAGTGGCTATTGGAAAATATAAGGGCGTACAAAAGGGAATAGAATGAACGTAGTCCTTAGCACAGGCGGACAACATGTTGCATTTTAGGTGATGTTGACAGGCAGAACAGGTGTCAGATAGAACTGGATGAACGTCCAGGATCGTCCGACAAACGCTGACCAGTGACTTTAAATAAGCGCAACTGTAAATAATTTTTTCTATATCCCAAAGCTTTTCACAGCGACCTCGGAGCAGGGTAGAACTCCTTCACAAGGATCCCGGGAAA